GCTGCAGTACCATAACAAGCCGCTAGGGGGTCCGAAAATACTAATCATTTTGTAGGTCTCATCAAGACCTTCCCACTCTACCAAGTATCAAGACAATCCATCAAGGCCTTCTCAAGTTATCGTGTTACAGACAGACACACACACACACACACACACACATACACGAACGCCCCTGAAAACATAACCTTCTTGGCGAAGGTAATTACACGAATGCGTTCCCCAGGGAATTGGTTTGGAGGAAACCTTTGGCCATGTGGTTTTTGCATCAAGCAGGTAACTTACACCAAGTGCCCACGTGCCACCCATCCAGCTGCCTGGCATGATTAATAAGTGGTCATCCGTCTTCTCATTACACCATGGACAGAGAGCACAGCTGTCTTTGGCCAAAGACCATATTCAAACAGGTCACAGAGAGAAAAGAAATTATCCGTCCTTTTGGAACCCACAAAAGGTAAAAAAAGTCAAAGGAGTAACAACTTCAGACCAGACATAAAATCCAGTCTCTGGTGGAGGATAGAGTGAAGTGGAGGATGGTTTTCAGTTTGGTTCTAGCGGGAACTCGACCAAAGTAAAGTAAGTAAGTATGTCATCATAAAATCTATATTGCTGGGGAAGAACGGCTGATTCCTCCTATACGTGTATTTGGTATATTGCCCCACACCTCCTCCACCCATCCTGTAAATTTCACTACGTGCATTTCTTTATAACATAGGGAAATATGTTTTTCTGATAATTGTAATGTAGATTGCTACTCCACCACATGAAATAATATATATCATTCAGTCGTCGCCTTGGCAATGATTTTTATTGCCTCAGCCTTGTTAACTTACGGTATATTTTTGCTCATTTTACAACTGTTTTGTACGATTTACAGTATGGTTGAAAACTTTTCTTTTTTTTTTTGGAAACGGCCGAAAATTCATGCGCGCATGGATGTCATCCATATAATCAAATCAACATGGCCTTACTGATTTTCCTTGTTTTCGAATCGGTACCCGAATCAGCTGCTATGTTCAATCAAGCGGCGAAACGCCGGCTACGAATCGAAGGCCAGCTAGAACGCCGCTAGCTTCACCTTGGTCTTGATAGGCAACCAAAATTATGGTGAAACGTTTTACTGTGGTCGTCTGGAGCAGGTTTTCTACCTCCGTTTGCTTTCCCAGTTGGTATGTTAGCCCATAGATTAACCTGTGCTTTCGGTGTAAAGAAAACTGTTACAGATATTGGGTCAGGAAAAAGTATGTGAAATCTTTGTTAATTGTTTTGGTGGTGGGGGCCCGGGGGAGGGCGCATAATCTCGGACATTCCAGTGGTTTGGTTTGAAGAACGTTCCAGTGCTGAGGACCTCACTTCCGCTCTAGACTAAGTTAGTGTTCCAGAGCCGAGAAAGGAGGGCGTTACTTTTGTATATCTGCGCCTGGCCAATTTGATATTGTCTTTTGCGGCCACCAAAAGGATCTGCTTGGAGATTAATGTAACACAAGGTGGCAGTTAGTGTTATAAAAGTGTTAACAGAAAAACACAGGTTTTGCCCTATGGGTGACTCTCTTCAATGCATTAAAAATTATAGTAGGGTAGAGAAACACAACCAACTAAATATGATTTACGGTGTAATCTAAAAAATAACTGAACATAACTGTTTTAAAATTTTGATGCTATACAATGTAAATTTTGATGCTATACATGTATTGCCTCCTACAAAAATTTACGAACACGTCAGCAGTATGTAGTATTATGTACTGCACCTGCGTGGAACCCATAATGTTATATTGTTGGTCCTCCTGTTAGTGATCAGATAAGATCTTGGTATATCCTGCTTTGCTTGGGTCAGTCAAAATACTAGCGATCGTTGTTTACATCATATATGCAAATTATTGGTAGGCAATGCCAAATCAGCCAACTGTCACCTGTGTTTTTCTACCACTCGCTTTCCGTGACATCATGGTGATCGTTCGTATTACCGACAGTGTGATGATGTCGGCCATCCACCCCCACACTACACCAGATTTAGTGAACTAAGTGCCTGCATGCCACGAAAACATTATATATAAACCTTCTTGACGAAGGTAACTACATGTAAGTCACTTCCAGAAGCCTAATGCCATATTCTTGAGGTTTGAGATCGCTTGTTTGATTTTGTTCCTCTGTATCGTTGTTGACTATTGGTGTGTCTTCTAACTCTGATGATTTATTTTTGATCTGAATACGTATGTTTCATGGTACGGAGAATTCTCTGGAATCTTTCAACGGACCGAGTTCATGGTGTTTGGTGTAATAATTCTTGGGAATCTGTAGAGGGCACAGTGTATGTACATGTGTGCTCAGGTATATAAATAAAGCAACAGTGATCTCAACAAAAACTATCGCCCCTTAATCCAACAATATGTGGGCTCAAAATACTTTTTTTTCATTTTCTTCATCTACACTCTGGTGCAGGTGAGGCAACCTTTAGAACTAGAGGTCGGAGATCTCATGCCTTCATCATAGGGACATTGTTCTAGATAAACAAACATTTTTTAATACTAGAAATCAATTTGGTCTAGAGTACAAAAGAATCTCTGTACTCCTTTGTTTCCTTTTTTATTCTACGGAACACCCCGAAAGGGTTTGCCACAGATTTACAGATGCACTGTCACCGTTTTAGCCCCCCCATTTATTTGATGTTGGACTGAAAAAAAAGAACTGTTAGTGTTACCAAAAGTTCTGCTTACTGTATTATGATCAGAGTGTCACGACAGTGTCGCAAAATGTAATAAGAGAAGAATGTGATGAAAGGAAGGAATCAGAACAGGGGGAGATTTATTGCTGTTTTCGTTTGTTGTTACACTATGTTCTTTTATTGGCGACGCCTTTGGGGCGGAGGCATTTGTGTAAGTACTACGATCGCTTTGAAAGAATTTCAAAAATTGCACGAATGCGTTCCCCAGGGAATTGGTTTGGAGGAAACCTTGGGCCATGTGGTTTTTGGATCAAGCAGGTAACTTACACGGGGTGCCCACGTGCCACCCATCCAGATGCCTGGCATGATTAATTACTGGTCATCAGTCTTCTCCCCACACCGTGGACAGAGAGCATGTAGCTGTCTTTGGCAAGAGGCCATATTCAAACAGGTCACAGAGAGAAAAGAAATTATCCGTCCTTTTGGAACCCACAAAAGGTAAAAAAAAAGTCAAGGGAGTAACAACTTCAGACCAGACATAAAATCCAGTCTCTGGTGGAGGATAGAGTGAAGTGGAGGATGGTTTTCAGTTTGTTTCTAGCGGGAACTCAAGTAAAGTAAGTAAGTATGTCATCATAAAATCTATATTGCTGGGGAAGAACGGCTGATTCCTCCTATACGTGTATTTGGTATATTGCCCCACACCTCCTCCACCCATCTGTAAATTTCACTACGTGCATGTCTTTATAACATAGGGAAATATGTTCTCCTGATAATTGTAATGTAGATTGCTAGCTCCACCACATGAAATAATATATATCATTCAGTCGTCGCCTTGGCAATAATTTTTATTGCCTCAGCCTTGTTCAATTTGCGTCCTAACCATTGTATTTCCACAGTTAGTATATTCCAAATCTATGCATCTTAATCAGTTTTTTTCGGCCCTTCATGTATTTTATCACGCTTTTGCAGGTTAGGTCTCCAGTGGAAGTCATCCATAAAAATTACTTGGTCTGGCCTTACAATTTAGGGAATGACCTGACGCAAGCCCCCCCCCCAAGTAATTATAGGACAGCCCCTCAATTGTAAGAATTGATTAGAGATGGGGAGACAGATGTCCCCATCTGAATCAAAACAGAGGTTGGTGGGGGAAAAATCATTATATATCTAACACAAAAGGTCCACTGCAGCGACATAGGGACCCCCGATGAGGCCTGTTTTCGAACTTGACCTTGGCCTCTACAATGGTAGCTTGCCTACCCAAAATCAAAAATTGATTAACAATGGCCCTTCCCAGCATGTCAATCAAACCTTAGACATCCTATGTCTTGGTAAATCTTATTGTTATCATCTGCATCTGTATCATTCTGGTATAGCCGGTATACATGTAACTGCATTTCAGCGTAACACACCAGCTTCTCATCAGATCATCAAGTCAAGTCAATACCTTTATTTTGCTTGGAAACTTGTTCAGCCTACATGGCTGCTTTTCAACAAGGTGGAAGTGGAGGGGTATCATCTGGCTGTAGTGCAGGCGATTGCAAGTTTCCCCCATTTTCCCCTGTTGCTTACTACAATGTACAAAACTGGTTACCAGTTGTTCATACAATGCTAATATAATGATAGATTTTATTGTACTCTCCATGCCTACAGATAATATCTGCCCAAGGGACACGTATGGCTGCAGTGGAAAGGTCGCCCACACTGCTGAATCATGGGAGTGAAGATGAGATGGTATGGCAGATGTCATTTCAACTTTCAGCTCCATTGATCTGTTGATAACTGTCAAACATTGTTTATTTGTGTCATGATGTAGTGAAAGAATAAAAGCTTAGCCCAAAATGTATCAGTCTATATTTCTGCTGTATTCAGAGTCAATATTAAACTTCGCTGTTTTTCGTTACAGCGCTCTAATCCTATTTTTGGCCAAGTCAGTTCCAACTACATGTACTTGTACATGTATGATTGAGCATTGCAGAAAATTATTAAATGCAGCCTGCTGCTGACTACATGATGAACAAAGTACATGGTCATGAGCATGAAGTCTGATGTTATTTGCTGAGTCTTGTCATTTACTTACTACGTAATGTAGAGTATGGTACAATACATAAAAAGAAGTTGAGATGCACAATGTGTGGGGAGGGGGGGTGGTACATACAAAATGGGTTCGCGAGGAGGTGAGTTCACGAGAAGAGGGTCTTCATGAAAACCGTGAACTTTAGCATTTTGTGATCATTAATGGACTTATAGTACTAGTACATAAACCCTTATTAAAAAAATTCCAAAGAATGCTCATTACCCTACATGTACATCTAGGAATGCAGGGGCTACCATACCAACACCCACAAGGCTATCCTGTGCTTCTGTCTGGTGTTCCTGTGTGGGGGAGGTCCTGTAGGCATCCTCCTGGCACTGCTGGTGTTCCGATGGCGGCCAGACTGGAAACTACGGGCCACCAAGTCACGCTGTTTGCTGTACAAGGCAGATGCTGTCCTGCTTAAGGTACAAATGTACATGGCAGACATGGAACTTAGAAGGTACATCTTAGGGAGACCTTCAAACCATACCAACATTCACGTGTGTTCCTACAAACACTTCTACAGTGTACAACTACATATCAAAAATGATATGCCTGGCCAGATTTTATCCTCATGAGTTTACAAAAGTGTACATAAAATACTAACTAAATGTTCCCACAGTAACACCAAATGTGGGTGTGAACATACATAAAAGCTGATGAGGAATTGGTACAAAGGCTAACTGCTGATAGGGATAACTATACTGCAAAGAAGATAGAAAGTTGGGCTTGAAGTCCACACACTTGTTCTGCCAGATTTTTTCCTTGACGTTGTTAGGGACTGTACGATATTTACCGGGGGGGGAGGGCCGGTCGTCTGAGGGGGGAGGGCCTAGGAAAAAAAAATTGAGCCGGGGGGAGGGCCTAGGAAAAAAAATTTAATTTGGGGGAGGGCCTAGGTAAAATTTTTTCCAAGATCCCTTTAACTGTACAACGTTTGTATACACGATCAAAACATGATTAAACGTCTGTCCATACATATCGTAGCGATTTGCCGGTCATTGGAATCGGCAGAATTTTACGTTCCAATAATATCCATCCCTATTATTATAATGTATTCGCCCAAATCTCCCACAGTCCCCTTCAAAATCTTGCTTTTTCGCCAGAATCGGCGAAACTGGACTACACAGCCAAATTACATGGATTAAAATCGCGTCAGTCGAAACGATACCGATCAAAAATGTATGGAAGGCTTGTCTGAAGATTTTGAAAATTAATTTTCGCCGTTCAACGCACCCTTCCCAGTGGTGTGCGTGCGTCGGCAAAGGTGACCCGCTGGTCCCGCCTCGCAACTCGCTCGAACTTCTCGGCGTGGATGTCGGATGTCGACGGATTAACTTGGTATTTTTATTAAACCAAGGACTATTTTAACATTTCTATCTATGTCTCTCCAAAGTTAATTGAAAACAACACGTAACTTGGCAATATTGTTTCCCTGTTTGTAATAAAATTGACGCGGAAGACGTGGACGAAAGGTAGGCTAGATAGAGGATTATTTCGATTACACTGACTGACCTTAACGTTACTGACTTTAAATTTATAGGTCGATGTTCCAGCTAAATTTGTGCTGCCAAATTTGTCCCTCAACATGCAAAACATGGGTTGAAATTCAAAATTTTTCCGGGGGGGACATGCCCCCCCCCCAAAAAAAAGCCGGGCCTACTCGGGCTCTAGTGGTCACAGTGGCGCCTGCGGCGCGATGGCCAGCGCCTTCGGCGCTTCAAGCGGGGAAAATTTTTCAATCAAAATCTCGTCCTCCCCATACGAAATTTCACTCTCTATGATTCACGCCGGGGGGAGGGCCTAGGAAAAATTTTTTGAGCCGGGGGAGGGCCTAGGAAAAAATTTTTGACCTGGGGGGAGGGCCTAGGAAAAAATTTTTACGCTACCCCCGGACGACCGGCCCCCCTCCCCGGTAAATATCGTACAGTCCCTTAGGGATACCCGTGTCGAGCGGAATGTGGTAGGACAAGACACAGGGAGTGTTGCAGGAGAGGTAATGTTCATGATTGGGGAGAGGCATGCGCAGAGGGGTGATCTTAGATGTGGAAGTAGGAATGACAACACTACCAGTACCTAAAATGTCNCTGCTTACTGTATTATGATCAGAGTGTCACGACAGTGTCGCAAAATGTAATAAGAGAAGATGTGATGAAAGGAAGGAATCAGAACAGGGGAGATTTATTGCTGTTTTCGTTTGTTGTTACACTATGTTCTTTTATTCAATTTGCGTCCTAACCATTGTATTTCCACAGTTAGTATATTCCAAATCTATGCATCTTAATCAGTTTTTTTGGCCCTTCATGTATTTTATCACGCTTTTGCAGGTTAGGTCTCCAGTGGAAGTCATCCATAAAAATTACTTGGTCTGGCCTTACAATTTAGGGAATGACCTGACGCAAGCCCCCCCCCCAAGTAATTATAGGACAGCCCCTCAATTGTAAGAATTGATTAGAGATGGGGAGACAGATGTCCCCATCTGAATCAAAACAGAGGTTGGTGGGGGAAAAGTCATTATATATCTAACCACAAAAGGTCCACTGCAGCGACATAGGGACCCCCCGATGAGGCCTGTTTTCGAACTTGACCTTGGCCTCTACAATGGTAGCTTGCCTACCCAAAATCAAAAATTGATTAACAATGGCCCTCCCCAGCATGTCAATCAAACCTTAGACATCCTATGTCTTGGTAAATCTTATTGTTATCATCTGCATCTGTATCATTCTGGTATAGCCGGTATACATGTAACTGCATTTCAGCGTAACACACCAGCTTCTCATCAGATCATCAAGTCAAGTCAATACCTTTATTTTGCTTGGAAACTTGTTCAGCCTACATGGCTGCTTTTCAACAAGGTGGAAGTGGAGGGGTATCATCTGGCTGTAGTGCAGGCGATTGCAAGTTTCCCCCATTTTCCCCTGTTGCTTACTACAATGTACAAAACTGGTTACCAGTTGTTCATACAATGCTAATATAATGATAGATTTTATTGTACTCTCCATGCCTACAGATAATATCTGCTCAAGGGACACGTATGGCTGCAGTGGAAAGGTCGCCCACACTGCTGAATCATGGGAGTGAAGATGAGATGGTATGGCAGATGTCATTTCAACTTTCAGCTCCATTGATCTGTTGATAACTGTCAAACATTGTTTATTTATGTAATGTAATGTAATCACATGATGTAGTGAAAGAATAAAAGCTTAGCCCAAAATGTATCAATCTATATTTCTGCTGTATTCAGAGTCAATATTAAACTTCGCTGTTTTTCGTTACAGCGCTCTAATCCTATTTTTGGCCAAGTCAGTTCCAACTACATGTACTTGTACATGTATGATCGAGCATTGCAGAAAATTATTAAATGCAGCCTGCTGCTGACTACATGATGAACAAAGTACATGAGCATGAGCATGAAGTCTGATGTTATTTGCTGAGTCTTGTCATTTACTAGTACTACGTAATGTAGAGTATAGTACAATACATAAAAAGAAGTTGAGATGCACAATGTGTGGGGAGGGGGGTGGTACATACAGAATGGGTTCGCGAGGAGGTGAGTTCACGAGAAGAGGGTCTTCATGAAAACCGTGAACTTTAGCATTTTGTGATCATTAATGGACTTATAGTACTAGTACATAAACCCTTATTAAAAAATTCCAAAGAATGCTCATCACCCTACATGTACATCTAGGAATGCAGGGGCTACCATACCAACACCCACAAGGCTATCCTGTGCTTCTGTCTGGTGTTCCTGTGTGGGGGAGGTCCTGTAGGCATCCTCCTGGCACTGCTGGTGTTCCGATGGCGGCCAGACTGGAAACTACGGGCCACCAAGTCACGCTGTTTGCTGTACAAGGCAGATGCTGTCCTGCTTAAGGTACAAATGTACATGGCAGACATGGAACTTAGAAGGTACATCTTAGGGAGACCTTCAAACCATACCAACATTCACGTGTGTTCCTACAAACACTTCTACAGTGTACAACTACATATCAAAAATGATATGCCTGGCCAGATTTTATCCTCATGAGTTTACAAAAGTATACATAAAATACTAACTAAATGTTCCCACAGTCACACCAAATGTGGGTGTGAACATACATAAAAGCTGATGAGGAATTGGTACAAAGGCTAACTGCTGATAGGGATAACTTATACTGCAAAGAAGATAGAAAGTTGGGCTTGAAGTCCACACACTTGTTCTGCCAGATTTTTTCCTTGACGTTGTTAGGGATACCCGTGTCGAGCGGAATGTGGTAGGACAAGACACAGGGAGTGTTGCAGGAGAGGTAATGTTCATGATTGGGGAGAGGCATGCGCAGAGGGGTGATCTTAGATGTGGAAGTAGGAATGACAACACTACCAGTACCTAAAATGTCCCAAACCAATTAGTCAGTGGAGGTGCAGTGTGAAAGTTCTGGAAGTGTCGGGTGAGATGCGGGCTGATTCTTTGAGATTCCTTTGATACAGCCATTTCTTTATTACCTCCATGAAATGTGTCATGGAGGTTATATTTACCTCCATGAAATGTGTCATGGAGGTTATATTTATGGCTTCACCACAAAGTGGTGAAGACATATTGTGTTCCCTCATGTTTCTTCTCCTTCTCCTCCTCCTTCTCCTTCTCCTGCCATTTCTTTAAATGGATTCATCTCTGCCATTTTCAGGCCAAATAGCACGAAATTTGGCATGAAGGTAGAGTGGGCAAATACCCTGACGCTTTGTTTTCATTTTTTTGAAAAATTGTTTTATTTGTGTTTTTTGGCCATTTTCAGGCAAAAAATATACATTTTGAGATCTGGTTCCCAGGTACTAAAACCAAATGACCTGAAATTTGGTATGGGGATACCTTGGACATATGTCTACAAAAAGTCATTCAAGCTTTTGACATACACCACTTTATAATTGGGAAAAATAAGGCTTTTTGGCTATTTTCGGACCAAAAATGTACATTTTTGGCTCCTGTGCCCTAATGTTAAATCTGAATGACCTGAAATTCGGTATGGGGATACCTTGGACACATGTTCAAAGAATGTCATTCACGATTTTGACATACATGTACACCACTTTAAAGTTATGTAAAATAGGGCTTTTTGGCTATTTCCAGCATTGGAAGGTTCCATTGCTGCATGGGGGTGTAGACTATTGGCAGCCATCGTAGGATAGATCCATTTTCGGTATGGGGGAGTGTGGTGAAGCCATCTGCTGCATTTGCTCTCAAGCAAAATGTCGGGCCCTTTCTAGTTTTGTTTCTTATTTTGACGGGGGAAACACGGGGGAAACTGTCAAAAATCAAGGGAACGCAAACTGAGATCGGCTCACTTCCGGGTGCATAACGCCAAAATTTCTCGACGATTGTATAAAAATGACCACTCGTTTGCCGCCTACGATAGCGTGTACATGGTAGTGCGATCATATCGTGCCAAAGTCAGCGTCAAACGTCAGAAAATCCCCGTAAAAATATATAGTTGCAAAACACATTTCCCGCGCACTCAGGGCCGGTCGCCCTGGCCGCGGCCGCCCTGTGATGCAGCATGCTCATTATAATATGCAAGTAGCTACGCTCTGATTGGTTCACCTTAGATGACCTGTGCTCTGATTGGCTAGAACGAAGCCGGTTGCATGCTGGGGC